AGAGTCGGACACGACTAAACAACTAAACAACAATAAATATGTCACAGGGAAGGTGCAATTAAAAAAAACGAATCTGCATTATGTCCAGAAGGTCATCGTCTTCCTTCTTCTAACCCAAGTCTGCAGATGCACACTTCCATGGACAGGTGTACACAGACAGTGGGTGTTCCTCCTGTTTTCTCTCTGTTGAGTTTCAAAAATACATTTGTGGTTTCTTAGCTGAGTCTGGACTTGCATGCCAGCTCAATAATAATGGCCAACTAGGCTGCCTTTACCTTATACAGCATTTGTTTATCCTTCGCCAGTGAGTGGCACATGGTCTGCCCCTGAAACTAGCCACAGCGGGTGCTGAGGGGGACCCCAGACTCCAGCCAAGGGGTGCAATGTGAGCTCACAGAAGGCAATTCCAATAGCAGACTTGCAATGGTAATGAGAGAATCCAGGGAATGGAATATGCGTGTGAGTGAAAGCCTATAGTGAAAGCAGAGGCAGACAGCTATCAGAAGCTTTTGGCGTCTTACTTCACGAGCACTGTTCCGCAAATCCCCTGCCTTTGATAATCTTCCACCTCCCCTGTGAGTTACCCTGCTAGTTGCTCCCTCTTGCTGCTTCTCTCCCTGCGTATTCATGCCCCATTCCCCATTTTCCTGCATCTGTTGAAGGAAGCAGTGCAGATAACAACATTCTTTCCTGAAAGCTTATCTTTGGAACTGTGCAGATATGCACAGTTTTTCACGCAGAAGTAGCTTCAAAAATAGCTAACTAACTAACTAGGCAGATTGTCATGGCCATTTTGCCAATGGAAAAACAATGGAGAATAAAACTTCTCCCTCATATTTCTGCTGTAAGGTCAAGGATGGGTTGTGGGGAGGAAGATTGAGGAAAAGGGATGGTAAACTGTTTCTACAAGAAGGAAGCCCCTCCCACAGATACTGTAAGTAGCACCTTGAAGCTGGTGCACATGAGATGAAGAGCAGTACCAAAATCCAATAACTCGAAAAGTTGGCATAAACCTAGTCTGATAAATCCTTGAATAGAGGTCCAGAAGTAGCAGTGTCAACACAAACGTGGGGGAACATCATATGCATTGTAAGGAGGCAAGGACTGATAATCCCAGTAAATAAGACTAATGTAATTTAGTCCTCTGTTGAAATTGTTTGTTTCTACTTTACTGCTCCAAGAATTAAAGATAAAGAATAATTCTAAAGCCTTTTAAAATACGCATTTGAAAACTGTATTTAAAGCTCATAAAGCACTTCAAGACTTCAAAATCCACTAGGAATATGGTATTGTATAAGAACCTTCACAGTTGCCATGGAGATAATAAAATAACTTGTGGTAAAAAGTTTAAGGTCTGATCCAACTCCCCTTATGCACATTCTGGAGAGCAGGGGTGTGTTAGGGGGACTTCTCAAGTTCAGTACATACACAAAGCTTTCTCTGACCTGGAAGTGGATGATACAGCCCTGCCTGCACACAGTTTTTTTTTTTAAAAAACATACATTGCAGTGTATCATCACACTCTGCAGTTATCCCCATAAAGAAGACTGGGTTTGTATTGAAGTCTTATAATGTTGTGTTCTTGATGCTCTATAGCAGGGATGAGGAACTTGTGACCACCACCCCATGTGTTCTTTCTTGGACTCCATCGTACCTGACCATTGGTCCTGCTAGTGAATGGGAGCCCTGCTGCATAGTAACAGCCTCATTATTGCTGATTTATTTTGTGCTGATAAATATCTGTAAGGTCCTTTCAGAATTTGGCTGGGAGGCAGGATAGAAAAGTAGGTAACTAAATAAATAAATAAGGAGGTGACAGTTCTGTTTATTGGGAAACAAAATTTGTTTCATAGAAGCAGCTTCTTGCTGCTTACATCCATCAACCCAAACTGTTGTTAATGGATGCAGTCATACCATCACCTCAAACTGAAGAGTCCAGACACTCCCGTATACACAAAGGGATGGAGGACACTACAGTTCTGTGATTCTATGACACGTCTCAAGGAGGCAATATGACAAGTTTTTAGAATTGCCATTCAGAAGCTAGAAGGGTGAAAGGAATCTAGGCTTCTCCTGACTCCTGCTCTCTGGTTGCCAATAGGTATAAAACACTGGGGTGCTCTTGCAAAGGGAAATATTGATGAAAGCCCCCCGCCCCAAGCTCACTATTTCCTTGGCATTACTCTGAAACAAATGGAGCCAACCTGATGCCCTTCCTGATGTTTAGGACTGTAACTGATGGTTGGTCATACTGGTTTGAGCTGGTGGAAGTTCAATGTGCCCAACATCTGAAAGGCATCCTGTTTTCTACCCCTATTCTAGGGCTGATGCCTCCAGGCAGGCAGGCAGGCAGGCAGGCAGGCAGGCAAGCTAGGCAGCTTGGCAGAGGTGAAGACAGGCAGAGATTCATGCAACCTTTGATTACAGAGCAACAAGTTGCTCAAACTGAGGAACTAGCTTGGACTCTGCAGTTGTATAAAGTGAGACCATATTATCCTATTGTCTGCTTGAGAGGCTTAATTCTTGCTGGGCTGAAAGGTACTGTATTGTTGTAAACTTCAGACTAGCTGCAGCAGCATTAATTTCTCTTTTCTGTCTTGTTGAGAGTTGCAAAATGAGGAGTTGGATAGGGTATAAGCTGATTATGATGGCTGCTTTTTCTCAGTCACTGTGGGCCAATCTAGACATAACCTCAGATTCATCTCTGATTTCTTTTTTCCTTGCTAAAAGCTGTCATGGGTGCAGCTGACTTGGTCTGGAGCCTTAGCACAAGGGGAAGTTAAACCCCCATGCCAGTTTTGCAAGCTAAATTGCTTCTCAATTAGCTATGGAGGAGAAATGTACAGGTGCCTGTGTGCTTATGTTTCTCCATCCATGACTAATACAGGTGATTGGGAAGAGGACTGCAAAATGGGGAGGGAAATTTCACTCCCACCCCTGGTACCACAGTCCTGATTTAAACTGGACCCCTGTTTGGAAAAGAAATAGCTGTCTATGATGCATTCACACATCACAGGTGTCTAGTTTGGCCTAATGTAGCATCTGTAAGAACATAAGAAGAGTCATTAAGTATCAGACCAAAGGCCCATCTAGTCTAGAATCCTGTTCCCATGGTGGCTGATCCAAATGGCAATAGGAAGTCCACAAGCAAAATGACCAACAGGATTTAGATTAGGACATCCAATGGGATACTTTGATTACTGTTGAAACTGAATGATAAATAATCTGATTTGAACGGATAATGAAGAATGAATGGAGTGCTCAAGCACGCCCTGTGAAATTCTCTCCCCGTCAGATGACCTTCTGTAGACATCTGAAGGCAGCCCTGCATTGGGATGTTTTAAATGTGTGGTGTTCTTGTGTTTCTGTATGTTTTGTGGGAAGCCACCCACAGTGACTGGCGCAACCTAAAAAACAAATTATTATTATTGTTGTTGTTATTATTATTATTATTACATTTCAGCACTTTCCTTTTTGCTATTTATAGAAGCACAATCAATAGTTTTATGGCAGACAGTAGTTAATTAGCCCTTTTTGGGAAGGTGAATGAAGCTTCATTAGCTCAATCGAGAATCAACAATTCCATGATGTCCCTGTCGTGGTCAGTATTATCTCATTTTGAGATTTGAGCCTGAATCATACTTTGGCTACAAAAAATGGCCGCCTCTGTGGTGGCATCTACCATGTGCACTGATCTCTCAGTTGCTATCAGGAGGGCACCCACTGGGGTGTTTAGCCAGGTGTTCTCTTTGTTCCTAATGGTTCCAGGTCCTTTGGTTTCTGTGACTGATACACTGTTGTTTTATTGACATGTTTTTACAGCATTATTTCACTATGATATGAGTGTTGTGTGAATTGCTTTGGTTCCTCTTTTTAAAGTTATGTGTATGGTTGGCAAGTTGACAAATGGCTTCACCTTTTGGCTGAATTACATGAGCTCACTATAACAGACTAGAACATGAGACAGACATGGGACAGGTCCTAGCTGAATTCAGAATTAAGCTGGTCATTTGCACATAGTGAGAGAAATAAAAGATGATGGATGGAGCCAATTGTCATTAGCACATACAAAAAATTGAAGGGGTTTTTTGGGGGGGAGGGGCTGTATGGGTGTGAATCTTTTATTTTTAAAAAATGTCAGATTTAAATTATCTAAACTTCCCTTTAATTTGAAATAGTAAATAGCTATGTATATAGTGTTCTTGTGTTATTCTCAACATTTCATTGTGGCTTGCACACAGGAAACGTCACAATGGATTATGCTTTACATCACTTTTCTAATTACACACCCTTGTGCAGTGAAAACATCCTGCTTAATGTATTTGCTATAGGTAAACATTCAGATCCTTAAACATGTTAATTTGGAAGTAGGTCTTGCTGAAATTAGTGGGGTTAACTTGTGAGCAAATATCTTTATGGATTGAAGTGCAAGTTCCAAAAATATCGTATCATGAAAGAAAAGACGAGCCAACATAATAAAGCTACTTTAGAGCTGCATCGATTCAGTATATAATTACTATTCTGAAAATGTCAAATTTGAATGTAATGTCTGTAAATTGCTTGTTTCAAATATCAGTAGAAAAACTCTTTGAGTGGTGAAGTTCGGCAGAAGATTTTATGTGACATTTCCACCCCCTGCCGTTTTTTTGAATTAGCCATACAGTGTTCAACATAATTGAATTACTTATTTGATGCCTGGACAGAGAGGCAGCCGTGTTGTAATCTCTCTCGGTCCAAATGCAACATGCTGCCTTTGTCACCGTTGACATTAATTATTGATAAAGGTTTCAGAAATAGCGCATGTGCTGGCAGCCTTGCCTGTAACATAAGATAGAGGCTGCAGAGATGCTAGAGGGATTTATAGGCAGTGGTGCACCTGTAGCATTTGGGCTTGTCTGAACTTTGGATTCTGCTGTGAGCTGCCGAAGATCTGCATCAGTGACAAAATAAATGATGGGAAGATGAATCGCCAAGCTTACTTCTATCGTGTCCCTCCACAGGAACTGCACAGAAGGACCCAGCTTCAGCCTGAGCCAGCGAAGACGAAAGCTCTTCAGACCGTCATAGAAATGAAGGTATGGACTTTTAATGCTTGCCGGCACACTTCAGTTTAATGCGATAACCACCATTAATGCCTGCTGGCTGAAGCATAAAAGGATTCCTAGCTTTTATTATAGACATGGGTTTGCACAGCATGACTGTGTCACATTGCCACCCACATTTTGTTCCCAAATGCGTGCCGTATCTGTTAAACATCCCATACTTCGTGTGGGATGCTACCACTTTGGGCAAAATATGATAATATTCATTGTCTCCCGAAAGGATATCATTTTTCATTGTGCTGTATTTTCCTGACAAATAGAAAATATTGCACTCTTTTCTCTCAGCCAGCACAGCTGTTTTCTCAAGCAACTTGCCTGCTGACATATTTGTAGCAAGAGACCGAACAATCTGAGTTTGCAGGTTTTAGGGACAGAAGTGGCTTTTCTGAGCAGAATAATAATACTTTAGAAGTTTCATGTTTTGTCAAAGCAGACTTATTATTCTCCATTCTGCACCATAATCATTCTTCACACCTGTTGCCACCATTCTTAATTCAGAAGGAGACTCCTTTGGGCAGTAGGCATACTATAAAGTAAAATTGTATCAAGGTATGTTTGTCTGTGTTACAGAGCATGCACATTTTTAACAAATATAAATATTTGGGACGTTGTACTCCTTACTTGTACTCCTTACTCAGTACATACGGGAAAATATATAGATGCAGGTACAGTAAAGATATAGTAATTATAGCAACATTAAGATAGGATCTAATCCTAAAATATATTAATCTTAAGATAGGAGCGTCTCCACCCCCATCATTCTGCCCGGACACTGAGGTCCAGCGCCGAGGGCCTTCTGGCGGTTCCCTCATTGCGAGAAGCAAAGGCTACAGGGAACCAGGCAGAGGGCCTTCTCGGTAGTGGCGCCCGCCCTGTGGAACGCCCTCCCATCAGATGTCAAAGCGATAAACAACTACCTGACATTCAGAAGACATCTTAAGGCAGCCCTGTTCAGGGAAGTTTTTAACGTGTGATATTTTACTGTATTTTTGGTTTTTATGGAAGCCGCCCAGAGTGGCTGGGGAGGCCCAGCCAGATGGGCGGGGTATAAATAATAATTATTATTATTATTATTATTATTATTATTATTATTATTATTATTATGTTGATTAGATTTAGACAGCTATTTACATGACAGTATGCATCCCCCCCAGCACTATGAGCAGAATGCATTTAGTTCTTTACTTCATTTATTCACATAGTACTTCAGTGAGGTAGGTCACTATTTCACATATTGGTATGGAGTCACGTGCACTATTGATATAGTGATTTGCACCATTTCACTGTTCATTTGATCACTCTAGCTCTCACTCTTTTGAGTTGTTTTTAAATTTGCACCCACTTTCAACCAGTTACCATTTTGAGGGAAGGGGTAAGTCTCAATGACACGAAGCGCTAAAATGTTTGTGCCTCAGGGTTAGACTCATCAAAGTCATGGGCTCCAGTGAACACTATGCATTTGACAAACCGCAAATATTCTACTTTCTGGAAATTTTTTGGCAACGGAATGGCTGGCAGAATTCTTTCCAGTTTGCTCAGTCCCATGTAAATCCCTCTATTCAATGATTGAAAGCTTACCAAGTGACTTGAGTCAATTACCATCTCTCAGTCTAATCTACACATTTATTTATAGCCTTAAAAAAAAAGATATAACATAATAATACTAATAATACTATTTATATCCCACCCATCTGACTGGATAATGCAAGCAAGATATTTCAGAGAATAGTTCTGAAGCTAAAGGGAAGAGAGATAGAATAATGTGTGCTGCCTCAAGCTCCTTAGAGGAAAAAGTCACATGCTGCAATATCATTGACCCAGGAACCAGTCATTGTGGTAGTGAAAAGGGCCTTGTGGGCAAGAGCCCCCTGAATTAGATCCTGCAGCGCTAGGGCCTATAGAACCAGAGCTAGGACCCTTTGGCTGGGCCTGAGGGGCCAAGTGCCTCTCAACCTATCTTGCTGGTTTGAAGGCCAGAGAGTTGGCGCTTTGAGCCTAGGAAAGGTGTGCTGGAGGCAGAAGCTTAAGAGGCCTCAGTCTATATCTAGCTTTTGTCAAAGTAAGTTGCTCGCCTGGAGCTCTTTGGGCTGTTGCAGCTGGGGCAACACTTAACTTGCCCCGTGGGCTCCTTTACCAGACTCCAAAGGATGTGGCCTTTCTTCTTTCAACCCTTCCCATGTGGGTAGGAAAAGAACACACCCAAGTGTTTAGTTTCAGCTTCATAGAATATCAGCTTGTTGGGTGGAATTCCAGCGTAGTGATAAATGGTGTATGCATACATGTGGGGAACAAGGTCTGCACCCACAACTGGACTTTCCCTTGTGCACCTGCTAGAGGAGGGGCCAGCAAACTTTTTCAGCAGGGGGCCAGTCCACTGACCCTCAAACATTGTGGGGGGCTGGACTATATTTTTTTGGGGGGGGGGAATGAACGAATTCCTATGCCCCACAAATAACCCAGAGATGCATTTTAAATAAAAGCACACATTCTATTCATGTAAAAACACCCGGCAGGCCCCACAAATAACCCAGAGATGCATTTTAAATAAAAGGACACATTCTACTCATGTAAAACACACTGATTCCCGGACTGTCCTTGGGCCAGATTGAGAAGGCGATTGAGCTGGGTCAGGCCCCTGGGCCTTAGGTTGCCTACCCATGTGCTAGACCCATTCTGGGTTTACTCCCCACCCTCCAGAGCAGATTTAGGGGGCACGGGGAAGGGGTTGGAAGTCCCATTGGATGAGTGGACCTCATTCCATGCATGTAACAACTTAGTAGAATCCTACCTGTTGTGTTATACAAACCAGGGGGGGTGTAGTGTAAAATAAACTTTGGTCAGTTTCAGTGCAAGCCAGCTTTGAAAACTAGTTATGAATCAGGCTTGTTTAACAGACCAAAACTCTTTGGGTTTGTTCCTGATACCTTTTTTTTTTTTTACACAGTACTAAGATAATACTTTCTGGACAGTGATAACATAATATATAGATATTATATGTATACTATCAACAGGGCTCCTAGGTATACATGAATGTTTTATATCATGTATTTATTTATTTTTTACTTAAACTTTCTCAATTTAATTTTTTAAAAATCTAATTGTCAGACTTTTCCCATAATATTTTTTTCCCACCTCCTGAGTCCTGTCTCCTTACCAAGATCTCCATTAACCCCCTCCCGCATGCCGGAACTTGCCATGTCCTTGCAGTGGCTAGTTTAACACTGCTTCTGTGGTAAACTGGTATGATGGTGTCCTGGGCTGAAAGTATGGGTCCAGATAAGTTATCCTGGGTGGCTGCAAGGTTTCTAGGTATGCCAAAAATGCTGACGTTCCAAAGCAATTGGCCATGGGGCTGGGGCTGGGGGGAGTCCGTAGGGCACTGCTGGGATAGATACCACAAGTGAACCCACCTCATGTTTTGTTTGGAAGCCCAAACATATTTTTCCTGACCCACCTTTACCTTTACCTTTCTTCAATGATCACACACCTTATCCTGTCATTGTAAGGTACCCTTGCCTTTTTCATTGTCCCCAACCTTCTTTTAATCAGACTTGTGGGTTATCCATCTGTTCTTCCTCCAGCAGTTTGTTTCTCAGGGGACTTCCTACTTTGCCCCCTTCCTTTAGCCATGCTGCCTCCAAGATACCTCTCCCTTAGCTTCCTGACCTACCAGACCGTTATATCACTCAGTTTCCCTGCAGTCAACCCTCCTCATCTGCTGCAACAGCCAGAAATCTTCCATTCCTTAAGCTCTATGTAATGGTTTGTCTTAGCCTTTCGTTTTCCTCACAGAGCTGCCATTGTTTCCAAACATTCTTCTATAGATGGTTTTTCTTGACTACTTAGAATGTTTATGAACATTTCATGACATCACAGCAGCTCAGGCAAAGGAGCTGTTGGGAGGCAGGCATCCAGCCAACAACTAGGTTTTGTTTTTTTCCATGTTCGATTTATAAGTTCAGAGTGTCTACAAAGAAGAAGTAAAGCCTTGTTTTACTATAAAGAAAGTCAGGCAATCGTGCTTTGGGGGAAACGCATCACTTAAATGCCTTCTGAAAAATACTAACTTTTGGTTCTTCGAAACAATTTGTTCAGGTTTTCTATATCATTATGTTACACTAAATAATGTTCTGACAGATTTTTTAAAATGGAAATAATACGTCAGCAAAGTTTGTGAGACTGATAGATATCTATATAAATTAAGTCAATTTGTTGATATACAGTGGTACCTCTGGTTGCACATGGGATCTGTTCTGGAGCTCCAGTCAGTTCCCTAGGTGTGCGTATCCAGAGGTGCGTGCATGTGCACGGCACGGTTTGGTGCTTCTGTGCATGCGCGCAGTGCATAGAGTGCTTTTGCGCATGCACGCGCAGCAAAACCCAGAAAAATACTTCCAGGTTTGCCGCGCATGTATCCTGAAGGATACGTAACCAGAAGTGAACGTAAGTAGAGATACCACTGTATTGAGAAATCTAGCTGTCTGAAAGACATTAGTGATGGTTAGGCACAGCAGCCATCCTAAAAGGAAGAATGTATTTAAGCGTTATTGTCACTTTCAGTACTGAGTGATTGCCTTTTGCATATTTTCCCTGAAGGAAAAATCATTCTTGCAGACATGATTATTAGCTTGGATTCTTCTTTTTTGTCTAATAAAATAAGAATTGTAAAGAAAATAGAATTATAAATCCTTTTTTTTAAAAAAGATGCCTGATTGATTTCAGTTTCTGGGGTTTTTTGTTTTTGTTTTTGACTAAAAGTGTCCACAAGTAACTTTGCAGTAATTCATATTAGAAAACAGTGTCTTAGCATGAGGTTTTGTTTTGTTGTTGATTTACTTGAATTGAATATTTTTATTTCAAAAGCAGTTCATAATGCACATGCATACTGAACTACCTAAAGATAACATAAAAGCAATATTCCAAAGAAAAAACCCATAAGTTTCCCTAAAAATAACACATTGTTTTATTGTATG